TTGGATATTATACGAGGTAGTTCGTGACATACCCATCCACAGCGGTAACCCAGCGACGTTCTCCTTGATTCACGCTGACATTCGCGTCGATCACAGACGGCTCCGCAACCCAGGCAAAGGCTGCAAGGGCGGCGCTTCTTATCGTGGAGACCCCAACTATAGTCGCAATGAGCCACTAAGGTCGGATAAACATGAGATCTATTGAAACATAAGGGTGCCATACATTTTGATTCTGGGCGCCGGTTGGGGCATTGAATTGGATAGGTTGTCCAAGTATGAGAGGCGCAGTAGCAAAATTGCCGTTTACGTCCTGGATGGTATAGGTGCCGGTTGGAACTGGGGCTGCCATTGGTACAGGTGATGGTCGATAATGGGATATAATGGGAGTGCTGGGGAGTTGAAGTAAAGTTGCAGAGTTTTTATACCCAAGCAATGGCAAAGATCATTAGATCTGGGACGTCGTTCTTGGGACGATCGAGCAATTACTAGTAGCTTTAGGTAACATAGAAAGGTTCGGTACCCGTGCCGCTGGTCCTTGGCTTCTTCCAGATTCACTTGTATGGCGTAGACATATTGAGAGTCTGAGGCTCTGCCAGTGATCGACAATGTCACCCGAAATCGTTCACATGAGGTCGCAAGAATCATGAGGCCAAAGTCCAATGTCTTCTGACATTTAAATTGAACGTTCATCCGTGTCAGGCGCCTATTAATCCACCAATTTGAGAGGCTCTAATCGAGTATTCGGGAAGCGTATCAGCACTCACCCCCTCCAAGTTCTCAAGTTGCACGCGTCGGCTTCTTCCTTTGAAACCGGATTTGAGTGAGTTGGTCGGATAGCCCTCGAAAAACCTCCAGATCCACCAACCCGGACAAATTTACAAATTCTGGGGGTAGACCGGGCACAACCCAGACAGAGACCGCCAAATGGCGTCGGGACAAAACTCCGATTTTCGGGATCAGACCGTTTGTGCTATGACCCAAAAAAAAACTGGTGCTGTGGCTCCACGATTTGGTCTTGACTCTTGACACAACAATTGCCTCCATAAAACACAATAGATCGAGATGTGATATATCCTGGAGAAAAGGGTTACGGAATCATGGTCAGGATGTAATCAGAGTCGCACACCTTTGATATTTATATACACGTGAACCAGTGTTTCTTGAACTTTCAAAATTACAATGTCACCCCAAATCTTTGACATGAGATCGCAAGAAACATCAGGGAGTTCTTTGGGTGTGTTCTTCTCTCCTGTGTATGTGAAAGCCCCTGAATCTTTTAGGAAGTCGGCGATTTGGGAGTTCCTCTTTCATTGCCATGCTCCGTTGGCGAGGCACCTTACCCGGTTCGCATGATACCCGGGCCGTACGTGTCCAATGGTTGACAACTGGGCGTCGGCGCCTGATAGGTGAGGGTGTAAGCGCAATGTACTCTAAGTCTGATAGCTGGGTGGTTGCGCTCCAGCACTATCAACTTTTTGTTTTTCGTCTTTCAGGTTGGCTTCGTAGGTGACGAACGATGTGAAGGAACAGGTGTGTAATCTGTCTGAATGTTTGTTAACCAAAGCGAGTGATGACCAGGAACTGGGCGCGATGGTTAAGTAGATAAAGCCGAGACCGACTTCCCAGCCCTTGCCAGAGGTGCCTTCTTTTTGCAATGTTTCTCGAGGGTACGTGCCCTTTCAAGTGGCTTGCGTTTCATTTTTCGTCGGAGCGCCGGAAAGAAGAGCACTCATCTGAAATACATTCTCTAGCATTCTCTCTGTCATTCCCCTTGGATTAATATAATTGCAAAACAGCGTGAGAAGGGTAGCAGGACAGAACTTACCATACCCAAGTAGCCGAAAAGCACGCAATAAACCAAGCTTTCACCAACTACGGAGTGCATTGTAACTATTCACATCAAGTCCTCACGGTCAAAGGCGTCCCCTTTTACGTTCAATATAATCCGTGCTCGAAAGACCGCCAGCGGAATGTGTGATTACGCTGAAGGCGCGTTAAATCGAGCGTAGTTCCTCGATGCGCACCCTCTGACACAGCTGTGGAAGCAGGTACTGAAACTGAAGCGCCTTCAGGTTATGCAAAATGCGGAGGCACGGACTGCTGACTTCATTTTTTGAAACGGGATCGCCATAGACTGTAAGGATAAACACACACCGTCAGGGGAGTTAAAGGTGGCGAAGAGACGGAGCTGGGTCTCTCATGAGGCATCCCAGTCATGTCGCCTTTGTAGTCGTCTTTCCTAATGCAGCTTGCCACCGAGCAAAGGCCAGGCCCACACGCGGCAACAAGTTCTGATCTGAGGCATAGGCCCCGCGGGGAGCGGACCACTGGGCTCTAAGCAAAAGTGCTGTCGTCACTGTACCCAGCCTTGTATCTACGCGCCGTTGCTCGTCGTCGTCAAGAGGTGGGCAGCACCTCGCGGGCTAGAAGAAGGTTGGTAAATGTTCGCAATTCTGATGTTGATTCTTGAAGGTGTGTACTTACACCTTGTCTCAGCAGCACGGCGCCCTTTCCTTTCGAGGGTTTGGACCCACTGATAACGAACTACACGATCGCAGCTTCGAGCCTCATAGTCTTCGTTGAGAATGTTTGGAGAGGGGCGGTGCGGAGCGCCGCGTGAAGTTCTGTTGAAATGGCATAAAGTGGGGATTATTACGGTCGCGAGGAGTACTTAGTACTTACTTCTCGGTCCTCGTCCTTCATTCTTGTGTTCATCGAATGCATGTATATGCGTTCCCTGACTGTGACTCTTCAGCTTCAGGTAGTGTATCCGTCCGTTCCCCGCACTCCCGCATCCTTCCAAAGTTCCAACGCCGTTTACGCGTTAGATCGAAAGGTAACTCTTCGTGTACGCGTTATCGTTGCCTTGTCCGCCTTCTCACTGGCACGTGTCGTTTAGATTTGTCGTAGGTAGTAGAGCGAAATCTAATGCATTTTTGTCAGTGGAAAACTCGCGTAAAAGAGAATATGGTACTCACTGTGACACTGTCGCCTGAAACTGCTGATCTGACAGTCGTTGCTGGGCGCGTTAGTGTGTGCATGTATGATGGATGTTTGATGTTTGTAGTCATTGTAACCCGATATATTCAGTCTTCGAAGGTAAACACATACATGACTTGCAACTTTGTCCAAATCGCAAACATCAAACGACTCGATGCGATTCGCTACTAATGGTACTTACTACACTGCCAATGATTCAAGTATATCTCATCGTTCCTGGTCCATGAAACCATGCTCAGAAGTCGCGAAGGTACTCGTCCTTGTCTGCCATCTCTATAACCGCATCAGAAAATTTCACGCTTCCCATCCTTTCGAAGAAGCGGTTCTAAAGTCAGGACAAACAATGCGTAAGTAGTCTCTTGCGATCAGAAAAGAAGCGATGCTGCATACCTGATACATCTTCTGGCTCTTGTCATGAAATGCAAGCCAACGGTGACTGTGGGTCGTATCTTGGCCGTACTGGAAGGTGTCATCGACTATGAATGTAATCCCCTTCTCGCCAGGGACATGCTTTGCCCTGAAATCATCGAGCATGTCCTTCTGAATGTAGAGCAGTCCCGAGTGTTCGTCCTCCGACGCTACAACGCAGAGAAAAATAAGATCTACTAATCCAATCACGGAAGTAGAGACTTACCGCGTGTAATGTTGGTGTAGGTGACAATGTAGTAATCCTGAGATCTGCTTTGCAAGGATTGCTGCCAAATAATGTGCACCTGTATGTGAGTGACGGTAGCGGAGTCGATGACTCGGAGAAAATCTCCTTTCTTAACAGGCATTGTAAGCTGTGTGTGATTCGTTTTAAAATGTGAGCTCTGGGGTTGAGGGTCACTGTTTATATACTTTCTCGAACCATGTGGGCTCACATATATCAGTCACTATGTCACGTACCAAACGTAGTAGCCGGACATGACAATGACTCGTAATGAACGGGCCAGCCGGTCCCGGCCGGACTTTCCAAAACATCCCTTTACCAACGGACCAGCCGGATGCATACAAATGGCTTGCGGGCACGGCGTCTCTTGCCGCGGCAGCTACCTACGGCAGCCTTCTGGGTGTCCCGTCGGCATCACACCATAGTTCCCCAATCTTTACTAGAACAACTGTAATACTGTTACCTGCTTTGATGTTGTACTGTTTGCTTCTATCAGTAGTAGCTAATTGTAAATCTCTGCCCTAAGCTACTTGCTCTACCACACAGCTGCTGGTCAGCAAAGCATGCTGTATATACCCCAACCTGCTCTAATGGTAAATTACCTGTGTCCATAATATTAATCAATGACATCTATTGAAATTGAATATGTCAACTCTGGTTAAGCATTTGATTGACTCCAATGGGGCGGTTATTTCAACTCCCGTGGGGCATTTGATTCACTCCGGCAGAGAATTTACAGCTGAGTATGTCAACCACCATGGGCATTTAAATTTGACTATTTTGACTCCATGAAGAATTTGATTGACTTGAGGGGTTATTATGTTTAATTGTAAATGCATTGCCAGAGTTGACATACTCAATTTCAAATGCCCTGGAGGAGTGATCCCAATGCCCCATGGGAGTCAACATATTTGATTTAAAATACCCTGTCAGAGTAAATAAAATGCCCTGTCAGAGTAAACTACATGCGCCGTGGGGGTCAACATATTTGACTCTAAATTTCATGACAGAGTGAATAAAATGCCCTGTCGGAGTGCCCTGTGAGAGAACATATTTAATTTTAAAAGCCCCGACGGCGTAAATAAAATGCTCCGTCGGGGTGAATTAAATCGCCGCGGGGTCAAAATATTTGATTTTAAATTCGCCGACGGGGTCAATAAAATGCTCCGTCGGAGTGAATAAACTGCCCTGCAGAAGTTAACATATTTAATTTTAAATGCCTCAATGGAGTGAATTAAATACCCCATGAAAGTCAATCAACTGTCTCCCACCCAATTCAAATTTTATATTCCCCATCGGAGTGTATTGAATGCTTTGCAGGAGTCAACATATTTAATTTTACATGCCCCGACAGAGTCAATGAAATGCCCCGCCAGAGTTGTGGGAGGAAAAAATGAGCTGTACTGTTATAGCTTCTCAATACATCTTTCCAGCATACTATAACTGTTGTAAAATAGGTTCAAGTTTACTTTGGAAAAGAATTTTGGCACATGGTGGAGAAATGAGGTTGAATGCATGAAATATCTCGCAACATGATATTGTTGACTTTTCTGTATACTTTGCTACCAAATCTCAACATCTGAGCCTTTCTTATACATAGTTAACATATGGCAGAATATATATCCCCTGCTCCGAAGCAGTTTTCTGATGGTTTGGGGGAGCTGGAGCTTGAAAGGGTGAAAATATGACTCTAAACATGAAACCACATTCTTTCTTATTTCCTTTCACTATCTAAATCTTGTTGAAATGCTCCCATACTTTCCCCAAATATAGCCTACATACTTTAGAATCAATTCAGATAGGTGGGGGAAGCAGTTGTGAGGGAAGAAAAAAAAATATAACTTGATGTATGCAAAATGGCATGTTGTGCAACTGGTTTGTATAAAGATTCATGCACCAAATAGCTCTTTCCGAGGTCTGTTCACAAAAACTTCTTCAATCACTGAGAAAACTATTCCAAATGATTCTATTCCTTTCTGGGATCCCCCCAATGTCTTTATTTTGTTGGCGCGTTGCATCACCAATGAGCGCGGTGCAGTGCGTAGTTTCAGATGGTGTGTGAATAATCACATATTCCAAGCCATTGCATGTTTCAGTTCACATGGATGGATGATCTGGGCACCAGCTTAAAAATGCTGTAGTGGATTGACTCCTCTATCTTGAATAAATGCTTCGCCAGAGCTGACATATTGAATTTTGAATGCCCTGTCGGAGTCAATCAAATGCCCCACGGGAGTCAACATTTTAAATTCTCAATTCCCTGTCAGTGTCAATCAAATGCTCTGCCACAGTCAATAAAGTGCTCTGCTAACTTGACGTATTCAAGATCATGCCACAGATGACCATATAATATATTGTGGAGGTCATGTTTTCAATTTCAATGTCAAACACCCTGATGGGGCCATTGCCGACATGCCTTCAATCTCAACCTCAAACACCCCGACAGCAACATCCTCCGCGGTGCTTTCAACTTTAATGACAAACACCCTGATGGTGACATCCCCCGCGGCACCTTCAATTTCAATGTCAAACACCCCAACAGAGACATCCCCCACGGCGCCTTCAATCTCAACCTCAAACACCCCAACGGCAACATCCTCCGCGGTGCTTTCAATTTTAATGACAAACACCCCGATGGAGACATCCCCCGCAGCACCTTCAATTTCAATGTCAAACACCCTGACGGCGACATCCTCCGCAGCGCTTTCAATCTGAACCTCAAACACCCCGACGGTGACATCCCCCGCGGCACCTTCAATTTCAATGTCAAACACCCCGACGGAAACATCCCCTGTGGCGCCTTCAATCTCAATGTCAAACACCCTGACAGAGACATCCCCAACAGAACCATCAATTCCAGTTTGAAACCCCAATGGAGCCACAAATGAGTAGACGAGGTGTGAGTAGCTAAATGAAAAGCTTTCATTTCTTAACTACAAGGTGAGTGTTTCCCTGTTGGGACAAAATTCAGTTTTTGGTTGATATGGAGACTATCTTGCAGGAGTTGGATGAGATAAAGATTAAGATACATTATGCTACAGATCTAGATGGATGTAAGTAAGGGGAGAGAGGCCCCAGTTAATTTTTTTTGTAGTTCCATCAGGATGGGCTGAGAGCCCGTCGGGACGTGGTCAGAGCCCATCGGTTAAAAAAGTGGTTCCGCCGCGGGAGCGTAAACCCTGCCAGGGTCAGAAACCGGCCACTTTGTTGCCAATGGAACAATGGCAATCAAACCGGCCGCCCCGGCTGACCCGTTCACTATGACTGATTGTCACATCTGGCTGTTCCATTGTTATTGGACCCATGTGACTGAACTAACTAGTGGGCTGCCTAAAGCTGTGCAGATGGGAATTGTTAGTGTCCATTGAATACTTAGTAGTTGCTCGCTACAGAGGTCTCACACTGCCAGCATCGATAGTCCGGATGATACTTTCTGCGAACGCACAAATGGAGACAAGTGAATGCCTCTGAGTTATCACCACCCTCAATTTCAACATTGACTTGACATTGACTGGCCTTGACAATCTGGAGTGTGATGTTTCCAAGTGACAAATTTGGCCCTCGGAATTTGGGGGTGAAATGTTCTTCAGGGGTCACATTTGGCACTCTGACAGACGATACATAGTTGTCAAACAATACGTGCGTGCTGGAGAAATGTCTGTCCTAATGTCAATGTTGATGAACCTATTTCAAGTTAGGTCTAGTAGAGTCAAGTCCGAATGGCTGTGTTTGCGGTTATTGTGATGTTCAGCTTTGTAGTGCCATCCAAGGGGGTAGGCGGAACATGGATCCTGAACACTGGCCGAAGGCCGAAAAAAAAATAGTGACCTGAGGTATTTCTGTCACGAATTGAGCCGCACCGCATGAATCTGACTTGCCCAGTCTACCACCTTCACCCGAGTGTAGTCATTCTGCATCGCCTCTCGAAGCTTGGTCCGTTTATCATTCCACTCTGGCAACACCACTCCCAATTCAGGCCTATCATTCACAACATCTGCCTTTGCATACTCCTGTTTATCACCTATAACACCATCGACGATGACGGATCATCCTTCCCCGCACACCGCTCTTCAACTGCCACCAGCCAGTCTTTGTCAAACTCTACAGGGAATTTGGGTATGAGTTCTCCAACGTCTGCAACAGTGAAGGGGGTGTAGGTGATCAGATTTTACATGTAAATTACATTGTTGACAGTTCATAAAATTCTGCTTTCTCTCGCTTATGTTCCTCCATGCAACAGCTTGCATGCAGAGCATTTTCAATTTGAAAGTTTGTGAGTTCTGTGTTGATAGGTAGGCTGACTCGGAGGCTGTAGCTACCAAGAAGCCAGGACCATAGGGCAAAAAAAAAATTCACTAAGACATTGGAACTTGGAAAACATACCTTATATAGTAGGAGGAGGAGGGGGGGAGGTCAACCAAATTCCCGAAAAAAAAAATAGGGAGTGTTGGTACATTTTCCACGTTCCGCCACCCCCTTGGTGCCATCCGCCAGAGTTGCACATGCGCAGTTGCAGAAACTGAGAAAGCAGCAGAATACCATCTGGCGGGCCACGTGTGCTTTTCCAAGCCTAAGATTTGTAAATCGTACTCAAATCATTGCTTCATTCGACTCCGAACTTAATGAAAATACAATGTCACTGTCCATACAAACTTGATTCACAATCCAAACAGTTGGCACACTCGAGTGTTGCTCAAGTAATTTGATTTCATTTGATTCAGACGACTTGGGTGAAAGTGAATTTAGCTGCAGCACCAGGTGCCACTGCGACGAGAACAGCCCTCTGAAAGTTTGAAAATTAGTATGAATAGTAATAATAGAGGCACTGCCAATACATCATTGGTATTCGCCCAGAACAATTGCAGATCATACGTCCCAATGGTGCCTTGGTTACTGAAAAGAGCATTGGCAGTAAAAATTTCAGGGATTGGATATTATACGAGGTAGTTTGTGACATACCCATCCACAGCGGTAACCCATCTACTATGGTCTGCTAGATTCACAGTGACATTCGCGCCAGCCAGAGATGGCTCCGCAACCCATGTGTATAGTGTTTAAAGGTTCAGTCCATAGGACCGCAAAAAACCGGTGGACCGAACTGAACCGGACCATGGTCCGGTCTTTTTTTCGGTTGCAGTTGCCCCAATTTGGGGTTGGTCCAGTTGCCAGTTGCCTCATTTCGAAAATCTTTTAAAACCGTTCAAAGACCGGTTTTAATCGGTTGCAACCGGTTAAACGGTCACGTGCATTACATAGCCTTGTAACCACGTTTATTGCCTTTTATTGGGTTTTTGTTTCATCAAAAACGGTTAAGAACTGAGAAAGATATAACCAAATCCATATTTTACCCAAGTCTCTATGAGATGTAATTCGGTTTCAGTCATAGCTATGTCAAATCTTCATTAAATCTCTTGAAAATTGGTAGAATGATGGGTATTTATATGCTTTACTATTTTATTTAACCCGTTTATTTTTCAGAGTAATAATGGTTGAGATACAAATGGTTTATATTGGTATAATAAATTATACACAAAAAAACCGGTCTGGATCGGTCTGAACCGGTATCATGGACCGCAAAAGACCGGTCCTAGGTGGTTCGGTTCGGTTCCCTCAATATCTGGGTCGGTCCTGGACCGGTTGCGGTCCAAGGGCGGCGCTTTTTATCCTGGAGACCCCAACTACAGTCGAAATGACCCACTAAGGTCGGATAAACATGAGATCTATTGAAACATAAGGGTGCCATACATTTTGATTCTGGGCGCCGGTTGGGGCATTGAATTGGATAGGTTGATTAAGTATGAGAGGCACAGTAGCAAATTTGCCGTTTACGTCCTGGATGGTATAGGTGCCAGTTGGAACTGGGGCTGGGGCCATTGGTACACGTGATGGTCGATAATGGGATATAATGGGAGTGCTGGGGAATTGAAATAAAGTTGCAGAGTTTTTATACCCAAGCAGTGGCAAAGATCATTAGGTCTGGGGACGTCGTTCTTGGGACGATCAGGCAATTGCGAGTCACACACCTTTGATATTTACATACACGTGAACAAGTGTTTCTTGAACTTTCAAAATTACGTACAATGTCACCCCAAATCTTTGACATGAGGTCGCAAGAAACATCAGGGAGTTCTTCTCTCCTGTGCAGTGTTGTCTTGACCTGTTTGACCCCGTCAAGAAAGAGGTCAATTCAAAGGGTCCACTAGTGGTATACACTCTTATGATAAAAACCAGACACATGCCTGGAAGGCGATGTGTATAATGCCTAGAGGTTCAATGAGACAACTCATTATTTTGTCTAGTATTTTCATTCATTAAGTTCCCTGTGTATTTCATTTGGTTTTTTCATTAAATGGCCTAAGTGATCTCATTAATATTGTATTGTGATTTCCTGCAATATTTCATTCATTATCTCTGGATATCTCATTTTGCTTTTCATATGAAAGCCTGGTGCTTTCAATATATATTTCATTCTTAGCTCCAGGACATTTCATTGGAGTTTTCATATATATATCTGGCGCTTTCATTGGATATTTCATTGTTAGCCCCAGGATATTTCATTGTGCTTTTCATCTGAATGCCTGGTGCTTTCAATGGATATTTCATTCTTGTTCCTAGGATATTTCATTGCACTTTTCATAGATATACCTGGTGCTTTCATTGGATATTTCATTGCTAAACCCAGGATATCTCATTGTGCTTCTCATTTGGATGCCTGGCGCTTTCAATGGATATTTCATTCTTATTCCTAGGAGATTTCATTGCACTTTTCATATGTGTACCTGGCGCTTTCAATGAATATTTCATTTTTAGTGGCAGCTGACCTTTCAGGGTCCAGGGTGCATTTCCAAATGTAAAATGGCAATAAAATCAGGAAAAATTAGGGCTCATTGCTGATCATCATGTTGTAACATTGTCAGGGTCCAGGGTCCAGTTCCAAATATGGTAATATATCCAAAAATAGCGGAAATATTGAATATATATATAAATGGTGTACAGAACATCAGGCACTGCCTTCAGGGTCCACTTCAGGTTCCATCCCAAAAGGGAAATATCACCTGGTTTGACCAAAAAGTGAAGAAAACCAACTGGAGAATGATTTTACCTATCAGGGTCCATGTAATGGGATGTTGGGATGATGGTCACATGACCAATTACCAAAAATGGTCAAAAAACAAAAGTTGTAGCCCTACACTGTAGCTTCCTGAATCTGTTCGAATTATGTTCTGAAGTGCTCCCGTTGTGGAGATATGAGGTAAAGGAATCCCAAAAGTGTCGTGTTTTTTTTTTTTGTTTTTTGCATTTTTCTCCATGAAAACAAAACCAAACAATATGATTTCAGTATATTTAGAAAGCTAAAAGAAAGGGCTACAACTATTGTATCGTGGGGAAAATGACCAAAAAAGGAATCAGATATAGACTACCAAGTTTACTGATAGACTACAAAAAAGTCGGACTCAACTACAAAGTTTACTGATACACTACATAAGACTACAAAAGTCAGACATAGACTACAAATTTTACTGATACACTACAAAAGACTACAAAAGTTGGACTTAGACTACAAAGTTAGGGTTAGGGCTAAAAGGTTATCCAAAGTCAACCTAGCCCATCCATCCCATACATGGCACATATTTGATGGGGAAATGGCTGGGGAATATACAGATACATTGCAGGGACTCTATTCCATGTCTAGTTTGAGGAATCAT